ATTGACTTAACTGCATTGCATGTATTTAATAACCCAAAGTATTGTACATTTTGATGAATGTTGTGTGTAGCTAGCACATAATATATATTGACCTAAACAAAGCTTTTTACTTCTCAAATGCTCATGTATAAAAATCTCAACTTTAACATTGCTCGGAGTATTAAATTAGAATAGACTAGGATGATTTGTTCCTTAACAAGAGCATTAATGTAGTAGCTTACTATCTATAATTCATATACTTTAGCTTTAAAGAGTTAGATACATACTAACAAAATCAAAGGTAAATCAACTATGTAAGCAAACCCAAATTAAAGGCTTATCTACATGTGAGTTTGTCATATGGATTTAATCTCTTGAAACAGGCATTATCTATAGTAATATATATATATTATAATTTCTGTTGTAAGCTGAATCATAGAATCATTAAGGTTGGAAAAGACCTTCAAGCTCATCTGGTCCAACCATACCGCTACCACCAATAACACCCACTAGACCATGTCCCTAAGTACCATGTCCAACCTTTCCTTAAAGACCCCCAGGGATGGTGACTCCACCACCTCCCTGGGCAACCTGTTCCAAGGTCTGACTACTCTTTCTGAGAAGAAATTTCTCCTAATTTCCAACTTAAACCTCCCCTGGTGCAACTTGAGGCCATTCCCTCTAGTCTTATCGCTGGTTATCTGTGAGAAGAGGCCAACCCTCAGCTCCCTACAACTTCCTTTCAGGTAATTGTAGAGAGCAATAAGGTCTCCCCTGAGCCTCCTCTTCTCCAGACTAAACAACCCCAGCTCCCTCAGCTGTTCCTCATAAGACTTGTGTTCCAGACCTTTCACCAGCTTTGTAGTCCTTTTCTGGACATTCTCCATGGCCTCGATGTCTTTCTTTTAGCGAGGAGCCCAAAACTGAACACAGTACTCAAGGTGCAGCCTCACCTCGAAGGGGACAGTCACCTCCCTGGTCCTGCTGGCTACACTATTCCTGATACAAGCCAGGATGCCATTGGCCTTCTTGGCCACCTGGACACACTGCTGTCTCATGTTCTGGTGAACATTGACCAACACCCCCAGATCCTTTTCCTCTGCACAGCTTTCCAGCCACTCTCCCCCAAGTCTGTAGCGTTGCATGGGGTTGCTGTGGCCAAAGTGCACGACCCAGCACTTATCCATGTTGAACCTCATCCCATTGGCCTCTGCCCATCGACCCAACCTGTCCAGGTCCCTCTTCAGGGCCTTCCTACCCTCCGGCAGATTGACACTTCCCCCCAACTTGGTGCCGTCTGCAAGCTTACTGAGGGCGCACTCAATTCCCTCGTCCAAATCATCAATAAAGACATGGGCCCCAACACCAACCCCTGGGGAATACCACTCGTGACCGGTGGCCAGCCGGATTTCGCTCCATTCACCACTCTCTGGGCCCAGACACCCAGACAGGTTTTAACCCAGCAAAGAGTGTACCTGTCCAAGCCATGGGCTGCCAGGTTCTCCAGGAGAATACCATGGAAAACCATGTCAAAGGCCTTGCTGAAGTCTAGGTAGACTATATCAACAGCCTTTCCCTCATCCATCAGAAGGGACACCCGGTCATAGAAGGAAATTAGGTTGGTCAGGCAGGACTTGCCTTTCATGAACCCATGCTGACTGAGCCTGATCCCCTGGTTGTCTTGTACATGCTGTGTGACTGCGTTCAAGATGACCTGTTCTATCACCTTTCCTGTCACATTTCAGTCTGAAAGGCTTGTAGTTCCCCGGGTCCTCCTTACGACCCTTCTTATAGATGGGCATCACATTAGCAAGTCTCCAGTCCTCCGGGACATCTCCAGATGACCATGACCACTGATAGATAATAGAAAGCAGCCCAGCAATCACATCTGCCAACTCCCTCAGCACCTTCGAGTGCATCCCATCAGGGCCCATATATTTGTGGGTGTCTAGCTTGCCTAAATAATCTCTAACCCAATCCTCTTCAGCCAGTGGAAAGTCTTCCTCTCTCCAGGTATTCTCTCTTGTTTCTGGGGTTGGTAGTGCGTGGGGGCTAGCCTTAGCAGTGAAGACTGAAACAAAGAAGACATTCAGTAATTCCGCCCTGTCTGTATCCGCCATCACCAAGGCACCTTCCTCATTTAGCAGTGCACCCACATTTTCCTTAGTTTTCCTTTCGCTGCTGATGTATTTGAAGAAGCCCTTCTCGTTATCCTTGATGCCTCTTGCTAAATTTAATTCTAACCGGGCCTTGGCCTTCCTTATTGAATCCCTGCATTCTCTGATAATGTTCCTATATTCCACCCAAATGGTTTGTCCCTTCTTCCACATTATGTATGCTTTCTTCTTCTAAGTTTTCCCAAAAGCTCCTTGCCCATCCGCGCAGATCTCCTGCCCCCCTTGCTTGACTTCTTTCTCTGAGGGATGCACTGATTCTGAGCTTGGGGGAAGTGGTGCTTGAATATTAGGCAACTTTCCTGGGACCCCTTTCCCTCTAGGGACCTGGCCCAGGGTATTCCTCCAATTATATCCCTGAAGAGGTCAAAGTTAGCTCTCTTGAAATCCAGGGTTGTGGTCCTACTTTGCCCTGCTTCCTCCTCGCAAGATCTTGAACTCCAACATCTTGTGGTCATTGCAGCCGAGACTGCCCTCAGCTTCACGTTTCCAACTAGACTATCTCTGTTAGTACCAGGTCCAGCAGTGCCCCTCTCCTTGTTGGCTCACCTACCACCTGTGTCAAGAAGTTATCCTCAGTGTTCTGCAGTAACCTCCTGGACTGTGTTGTCTCCCCAGCAAATAACAGGGTGGTTAAAGTCCCCCATAAGAACCAGGGCCTGCAGACGTGAGGCAACTTGCAGCTGTCTGTAGAAGGCCTCATCCACTTCCTCTTCCTGATCCAGTCATCTGTAGTAAACACCCACCACAATGTCACCCCTGTTGGCCTGCCCTTTAATCCTTACCCATAGGCTCTCAACTTGCACTTTGCTCCCCTCCCCGCCCCCCCCCCCCCCCGCCCCCCCCGCAGAGCTGCATAGATTCCAGTTGCTCACTCATGTAAAGAGCAACTCCACCACCTCACCTTCCTCGTCACTTTTCTTTTTGGCCTGGGATTTCAGCCTTTACTGTGTTTAAAAATTAACTGTCAAGATTTAGGTGTGATTTAGGTGTGCAAATGATGTGATTACTTTTTAGTGATCCTTTGAGAATTCAAATTTCTCAGTCCATTGGTCAAAACAGCAGTTTTCCTGACTGTCTCTGGTTCAAATGCCTATCACTTCCTGGGGAAGAGAACAGCTTAGTCATAACTGGATCATTCCTACAACCCATCTTTTTTGAATTCCACCTTCATCTTTTGACTATTGTGAAATACTGTCTTTGTCTTCATTGGGTACAATGCTGTTGTCTCTCCTTTAATTCAGTCTGGGAAATGACTGTAGCATATTATATCATCTTCAGAAAAATATTTAGTCCCTTAGTTGTTTAGATTAGTTTTATCAGTGCCATGCATTTCCTTTTGGATTTTATGTATTTTACAATGCCTATGTACTATGGTGAGGGGTCTGGAGAACAGGTCTTATGAGGAGTGGATGAGGGAGCTGGGATTGTTTAACCTGGAGAAGAGGAGGCTCAGGCGACCTTATAGCTCTCTATATGTACCTTAAAGGAGGCTGTAGCAAGTTGGGGGTTGGTCTGTTCTCCCATGTGCCTGGTGACAGGACGAGGGGGAATGGGCTTAAGTTGCACCTGGGGAGGTTTAGGTTGGATATTAGGAAGAACTTCTTTACTGAAAGGGTTGTTAGGCATTGGAACAGGCTGCCCAGGGAAGTGGTGGAGTCACCATCCCTGGAGGTCTTTAGAAGACATTTAAATGTAGAGCTTAGTGATATGGTTTAGTGGAGGACTGGTTAGTGTTAGGTCAGAGGTTGTACTAGGTGATCTTGGAGGTCTCTTCCAACCTAGATGATTCTGTGATTCTGTCTTTCAAAATGATATAAAGTAATGTGCAGGGTCTGGAAGGAGATAGATGCTTATAAGTAGCTTGTTGATGATAAGCCTTGAGGTTGAAATAATTGCTGCTGAACACTGTACTTCTCAGTGTTTTCTGTATACTTGCAGTCAAGATGCATATGGAGCTTAAGGCATAGGGTTGTTTGGTTTTTGTTTGTTTGTTTTGTGTGTTGTTTTTTTTTTTTTTACTTTGCTGCAAATATAGTATAGCAAGGCATACATGTCATGGCTGCCTCTATGGGTGGTGGTGTGTGTTTGCTAGTGTTACTGCATTTTGACCAAGTTACTCTAATTAATATCACTGTATCTTGCTGTACTGCTATTCAGGAAAGCGATCCCTTCTCTGTCTTGGTTCAGTTGATACAATACATAAAGTTCCTTTTCTTTTTAGATAGCTGGTGGCTGAGTAGAAGAGGGAGACCTAGTGTCCCCACTGGATGGAAGGTTTTTGCATGTGTTCAACTGCTGTTTGTTTTGGCCAGCTAACAGCTGATCATCAGACCTATCTCAGAATCATATACAGTCGGTGCTTTCTCTAGTTAGCAAGTAAGGGAGAATTGAAGATATTCCAAAAGGGAAGAGGTCTGAGGAAGAAAGAAGATTGGGTTATTGCACAGGGGATGTAGGCACACAAGGCATTAACCTGGTTTTCTAACATGAAACCTGGTCTCCTACAGTTGGCAGAATAACTCATATCAATTCAAAATGTATTATTTCAAAAACAGTATCATGAATATTTTCAGGGTCTCTCCATGTGTGCTAATAAAAAACACAAAATAGTTCAGGTTGGAAGGGACCTCTGGAGGTCATCTAGTACAACCCCCTCTGCTCAAAGCATGGTCATCTAGAGGACCATGCACAGGACCATGTCAAGATGGCTTTTGAATATCCCCAAGAATCTTGTCCAGTCACATTTTGAATGTTTCCAAAGACAGAGACTCCACAACCTCTCTGGGCATTCTGGTCCAGTGTTTGACTACCCTTGCAGTAAAAAAAGTTTTTTTTTATGTGCAGATGAAATTTCCTATGTTTCGATTTGTACCTGTTTCTTCTCATCCTGGATACTTCACTGGATGCCACTGAGAAAAGTCTAGCTCCATCTTTACTCCCTCCCATCAGGTATTTATATACATAGATAAGATCCTCCTGAGCCAGGCTAAACAATCCTAGTTCTCTCACTTTCTCTTGATATGTCAGATGCTCCAGTCCCTTCATCATCTCTGTGACCCTTTGCTGGACTCTCTCCCGTATGTCCATGTCTTTCTTGTACTGGGGAGCCTTGAACTGGACACAGCACTCTGGATGTGGTCTCACCAGTGCTGAGCAGAGGAGAATAACCACCTTCCTTGACCTGTTGATAATGTTCTGCCTAATGCAACTTGGGACGCAGTTGACCTTCTTCATTGCAAGGGCATATTGCTGGCTTGTGTTCAACTTTGTGTCTGCCAAGATCCTCGGGTCCTTTTCTGCAAAACTGCTTTCCAGCTGGGTGGCCCCTAGCATATGCTAGTGCCTGGGGTTGTTCCTCCCTAGGTTCAAGACGTAGCATTTCCCCTTGTTTGGACTATATGAGGATATATAATCATCTGAACAATTTATCAAAGACTGTATTGTCTTTTTAAGTAGAAATTTTTACATCGGGGATTGGATGGTTTACTAAAAAATAGTGTTTTACTAAAAGAGTGCAAAAGTTTTTTACTAAAGAGTGTTTTAGTTTGGACAGGAATTAACGGAACCATGTTGCATTATTCAGCTCACAATTGAGCATCCTGTGACACATTTGATGTACTGTTGGCTATTATACCATGTTAACTCTATAACAGATTCCTGCTTTGCTTTTTTGTCTTGATTCTGATTTTGTGTTCCTTCACAGGGTTTCCAGACGGAGTATAATATCAATATGGTATTGGAAAAGTAAGGTATGTTTTTGGTCATCTGTCTCTTAGCTATCACTTTTTTTTAACTGTTCTCACTGTGATCTAAATTGAACTCCATCTATTTTTATCATTATAGCTGCTTCTGCTTTATTTTATAGGATCATGGATTTTCCAGGACACTTCAAGCAAATCTTTCAGCAGCTAAACTACCAGAGGCTTCATGGCCAACTCTGTGACTGTGCCATTGTGGTGGGAAACAGACATTTCAAAGCCCATCGCTCTGTTCTGTCAGCATGTAGCACGCATTTCCGAGCAATCTTTACTGTAGCAGAGGGTGATCAAACTATGAACATGATTCAACTGGACACTGAAGTGGTGACAGCAGAAGCCTTTTCTGCCCTGATTGATATGATGTACACTTCTACACTAATGCTTGGAGAGAGCAATGTAATGGATATCTTGCTTGCTGCTTCTCACCTGCATTTGAACTCTGTTGTTAAAGCGTGTAAACACTACCTTACTACCAGGATGCTACCAATGTCTTCACTTAGTGATAGAGTTCAGGAGCAAAATGCACGCATCCAAAGATCTTTTATGTTTCAACAGCTCGGGCTCAACATTGTGAGCTCTGCACTAAATTCCACTCAAAGCACAGAGGAGCAATCAAATACCATGAGCTCATCAATGAGAAGTAACGTAGAGCAATGTACTCTCCACAAGTGTAAACAGTCTTCTGATGATCGGGCCAGACAGCGAATCAGACCTACGGTAGATGAGTCCATTTCAGATGTTACTCCAGAGAGCAGGCAGTCAGTAGTTCATTCACGAGAAGATTTTCTTTCACCAGATTCACTGAAGATTGTGGAAAATTCTAAGGCCGATGCTGTCACTGATAAGCAAGAGGATAATACTATTATGTTTGATCAGTCTTCTGGTGCTCAAGAAGATGCTCAAGTACCCAGCCAGTCAGACAACAGTAGAGGAGACATTTCACAGATATCTATCTCATCTCAGGTAATAGAAGTGGAAACCTGTTTTGATCGGGAAGCTACTTCTGAGAAAAACAACTTCCCATGCAAAAATCCAGATGTTGGTCTAACTGAAAAAGAACACATGGGGGTGGTGGTTAAATCTGAACCTTTGAGTTCCCCAGAGCCTCAAGATGAAGTGAGTGATGTCACTTCTCAAGCAGAAGGCAGTGAGTCTGTTGAAGTGGAAGGAGGAGTGGTGACTGCAGAGAAGTTAGAACTGAGTCCTGAAAGCAGCGATCGTAGCTTTTTTGATCCACAGTCTAGTACTGATAGGGTTGGAGACATCCATATTATGGAAGTGTCAAATAACCTGGAACATAATTCCACTTTCAGTATCTCAAATTTTCTGAATAAAAGCAGAGGTGGCAACTTGGGTGCAAGTCAAAATACCAATGACAACATTCCAAATACAATAAGTGACTGCAGAATGGATAGTGATGCCTCTTACCTATTGAGTCCAGAGTCCAGGACTGCTAATGGTCATTTCTCTGCTATGGTTTCTCATGCAAAGAATCCATTCAGTGAGCCTTCAGACTCTCATTTTGTTAGACCAATGCAGGATATGATGGGTCTTCCATGTGTACAGACTTCTGGGTACCGGGCTGCAGAACAATTTGGTCTTGATTTCCCAAAGTCAGGCTTGGGCTTGCACTCTTTGTCAAGGACAATGATGGGTTCCATAAGAAGTGGAGCTAGTGTTTTTCCTGGCTATCGTCGCATAGCCCCCAAAATGCCTGTTGTGACCTCTGTTGGGAGTTCCCAACTACAAGATAACCCTTCCAGTTCCCAGCTGTTAATCAATGGAACCACTTCTTTTGAGAATGGACTTCCTTCACAACCTGGTCCACCACAGTTGACAAGGGCATCTGCCGATGTTCTTTCAAAATGTAAGAAAGCCTTATCTGAACACAATGTGTTGGTTGTAGAAGGTGCTCGTAAATATGCCTGTAAGATCTGCTGCAAGACTTTTTTGACTCTAACAGACTGCAAGAAGCACATTCGTGTGCATACAGGAGAAAAGCCTTATGCCTGTTTGAAGTGTGGCAAACGGTTCAGCCAGTCCAGCCACCTATATAAACATTCCAAAACAACCTGTCTGAGGTGGCAGAGCAGCAATCTACCTAGCACTTTGCTTTAATCTCCTCCACTCCATAGCTTTATGGGAATGCTAGTACAAAATTATAAGACTGGAGTATTTCAGGAATATTAATGCTATTTTGTTCAAGGCTGAAGTCTGAGAAGCTGTCCTTATAGATTAGTGAATTCTTGTGTGTGAAATTGTTACAAACACAGAAGTCTTGATTTTGTAAATTGGCGATAATGCCATATTTACTTCACTTGCGGTGGTTTCACACTGAAGGACATCTAAACACCACAATCGCTCTCTCACTCCCCCTCCTCAAAGGGGGGGGGGGGGAGGAGGAAAGTATGATGGGAAAGAAAAAGGCTCACGGGTTGAGATAAGGATAATTTAATTAAAGGGAAAAGAAAGAGAAAAAAATAAGCAAAGACTGTCCAGAGGAAAAGAAAGAGAAAAAGCAATTATTCTCTACTTCCCATCAACAACCGATGTTTGGCCATATACTGGAAAGCAGGGCCTCAGCATGTGCAGCGGTTGATCGGGAGGACAGACATTTTCATAACGAGAGCCCCCCCCAAGTGCACCTGTCTGTCACAAAATGCTTTAGAATATGTTAATTATGAAAATAGTTTTAGAGTTCCAAATACAATTATGGCTCTTTTGCAGTAAAGGACAATATGTAATGAAGATACTTAAAATAAGTCAATGACAAGTAACTTCTGGACTGTTAGATGTGTATATAAATACTTTGAATAATGCAAGACCTTGTTTTTTTACCATTTTTCTGTAAAAACTTCTATTGAGTAATAAGTGATGTACTACAGACCTCAGTCCTGGGAAAAGTTATGGAGAAGATTGTCCTGGGAGATACTGAAAGGCAGTTAAAGAACAAAGCTATTATCAGGCATATTCAACATGGGTTCATCGAGGGAAAGGCCTGCCTTAGTAATTTGATTACCTTCTATGATAAGGTCAACTGCTTGGTAGATGAAGGGAAGGTAGCAGACATAATCTCTGAATTTTAGTAAGGCCTTTGATGCTGTCCTCACAGCATCCTACTGTACAAATTATCTAACTGTGAGATAAACAGGTTCATGCTACGCTGGGTGATGAACTGGGCTCAACAGTCACTAGCTGTGTTCTCCAGGGCTCAATTCTTGGGCCAGTCTTGTTGAACATTTTTATCAGTGATCTGGATAAAGGAGTGGAATGCATCCTCAGCATGTTTGCCAATGATAGTAAACTGGAAGGTGCTTCTGACTCCCTAGAGGGACAAGAGTTATTGCAAAAAGATCTAGATTGATTGGAGCACTGGACAATCATCAACAGCAAGTTCAACAAAGGAAAATGCTAGGTTCTGCACCTGGGACAAAATAATGCTGGACACATGTACAGACCGGGAGACAAGTGGCTAGAGAGCAGCTCAGCAGAAAGGGATCTGGGGGTGGTGGTTGACAGCAGGTTCAATATGAATCAGCAGTGTTCCCTGGCAGCCAAGAGAGCAAAACACATTTGGAGGTGCATTAAGCACAGCATAGCCTTCCAGTCAAAAGAGGTGATTCGCCCGCTATATTCAGCATGGGTGCAGCCTCACCTTGAATATCATGTACAGTTCTGGACTCCACAATATAAAAAGGATGTTAAGGTCCTTGAAAGTGTCCAGAGGAGGGCAACAAAGCTCGTAAAAGGGCTGGAAGGCATGTCCTATGAGGAGAGGAGAGGCTGAGGACACTTGGGTTGTCTAGTCTGGAGAAGAGGAGGCTAAGAGTCAACCTCATTGCTTTCTACCACTTCCTGAGGAGGAGAAGTGGAGAGGGAGGTGCCAGTCTCTTCTTCGTGGTAACCAATGGTAGAACGTGCAGGAACAGCAGAAAGCTGCACCAGGGGAGGTTCAGGCATGAGGAAAAATTTCTTTACTGTGAGGGTGGTCAAACACTGGAAGAGGCTTCCTAGAGAGGTGGTTGATGTTCCATGCCTGCGATTGTTCAAGAGGCATTTGGATAATGCCCTCAGTAATATACTTTAACTTTTGGTTACCCCTAAAGTGGACAGGCATTTGGACTAGATGATCTTTGAAGGTCCCGTCCAAGTGAACTATTCAATTCTATATTTTTAATGCTTTTTCTTTAAAAAGCTTGATTTGCTTAGATTAAAATTTCACAATTCTTTGTTTCCCTTTCAGCAGATGCTGACATGCACCAAAAAGAGATCAGGAAGCTGCAGTTTTTAGTCAGTCTTAGCTGTTACTAATGTTGTCAGCTCTTACAGGGCAAGGACTCAGGTCTCAGCAAGCAGGTGAAAGGGGAAAATGTTTTATAAATACCCATAATTGAAACATTTGCAATTTATGCTTGTGTAGTATTAGCACGTTATGTTTAAATCGAACCATTTTTCATTTTCAGAGTAAACATTCTGTTCGTTTGAAGGATCGATCTGTTACAAGCAAAACTTCCTCTGATTGCATACTTCAGTACAATTTTGCTCTCAGATGAGCAATTTATCTTTTCTCAACAGAGCACAGAGGAAATATAAGAAACTTGTTCCAAGGAACTTGTGACTTTCTGTAGCACAAAAGGACCCCCAAATCATATTTTATGCATAATATGTATAAACCTTGATTATGTTGGTCCATTGGACTCTGAGGTGGGCCCATTCTAGAGTGACGAATGGCTTCTTTTTCATACAAGCCATCAGTAAACTGTAAATAAATAAATAAATAAATAAATAAATCTAAAAACCAAAAATCTAAGGGACGTAAAATAAAAATTTACACTTGTATATGAAGAATATAAACTTTTCATGCTACCTATTATAAGTAAATGCAATGGGACTCTCTATCCCTGGAATCAGATTTTTGGAAAGCAGAGCACAACAGGAGAATGTTTATCCCCCTTCCTGCTGATGACTTTTCTTTTTCTGCTTCCTTATGAGCTGTTTGGACAATGTTAAGTACTACAAACAAGGAAAATTGTCCAAACAGAAACAAATGAACCGTACTGACTTCATATAACAAAGCAGTGCAATGCAGACCAACTTAGAACAGGCCAAATTATTGACTCAACCTTTTCCCTTGTAGTCACACTATACTGGCATGTCCCAATACTGTTTAACTTTTTCCCTGGTTTTGGCTGGGATAGAGCTAATTTTCTTCCTAGTAACTGTTTTGTGTTTTGGATTTAGGGTGAAAATAGTGTTGATAACACATCGATGTTTTAGTTGTTGCTGAGCAGTGCTTACACTCAGTCAAGCACTTTTCTTCTTCTCACGCTGCCCTGCCAGCAAGGAAGCTGGGGGTGCACAAGAAGCTGGGAAGGGACGCAGCCAGGACAGCTGACCAAATGGACCAAAGGGATATCCCCTACCATATGATGTGGTGTTCAACAATAAAAGCTGGGGGGAAAGAAGGAGAAGGAGGAAAAAATCAGAGTAATGGCATTAATATTCCTAAAAAACTTTTACATGTGATGAGCCCTGCTTTCCTGGAATTGGCTGAACATCTGCCTACCAATGGGAAGCAGTGAATGAATTCCTTATTTTGCTTTGCTTGTGTGCGCAGCCTTGGTTTTACCTAGGAAACTGTCTATTGTCAGCTTTATTGAGAGCTTTTTTGAGCTCTCTATCCCCATGTCTAAGAAATCAAGCAGGGAAGGCAGGAAACTGGGATGGCTGAGCAAGGAGCTGCTGGTCAAACTGAGGCATGAGAAGGAAATGCACAGGCAGTGGAAGCAGGGACATGTGGCCTGGGAAGAATATGGGGATATATAAGGTAGTTGTGTAGTCATAACAAGGAGAAATGCTAAGTAGATAAGTGGACAGTAGAAGGCCTCACTGTTCCAAAATAGGGTGGAAGCTTGAGAAAAACAGGATGAGCAGTGTGGGAACAGTAAAACAAAGATCACAATTTCTTAAAATATAAGAAAATGGAAAAAAAAAAAAAGGGAAAAAGGAGAAATTAAAGGGTTGAAAAAAAAAAGAAAAACTGTACATATATGGTATAGAGGAGCGTCAAGTAGCTTGTGAGCCTGTAGTACTCAGCCAATAAAAGGTTATGATTTGTTTACTAAAATGCACTCCTAATTGACAGGATGCTCGTCATTGCAATCGCGAATAAAATAGCTTCACAGAAGATCCTGTCTGAAGAAAATTATTTGAGATTTTTCCTCACAGGACAGCGAAGCCAATAGTCTGGAATTAGTGGGTAGGGAAACCAGGCAGCTGGGATCCCTTGCTAGAGATGCAGGCATTGACAAAGCAATTGGAAATGGAGCACACATCTTCACCCTCTGGAGGCATGTTCTGTCAGGTGTGAAGGAAAGGTATCCCTTCAAGGAAGATGTTGTATGTCAACCAGGCAAGTGGACCACCATGGAGAGGGGAATACAGTACCTGAGAGAATTAGCTGTGCTGGAGGTGATTTATGATGACCTAGACAAGGAACTGCTATCCACAGATCCAAATGAAGTCAAGTGTACACGACCCATGTGGTGGAAGTTTGTACAGAGTGCACCATCATCATATGTTAGCTCACTGGAGTGAGAAACAAAGTTGTGTTTTTGCTGTGGAAAATTCCATTAACCTTGCATATTCAAAAGTGATTGTGCAGGCATGACAGTGGCATAGCAGTGGGGAGTACGTTAAGCAGATAAGGGGAAGGTCCCACTGTCTCAAAATAAGGAGGATAGCTAAGGAAAGCAGGATGAGCAGTGCAAAATCGGTAAAAACAAAAAATCACAGGCCCTCTAGTCACGAGAGAAGAAGGAAAGGAAGGAAAAGGAGAAATTAATGGTTAGTCAAATCAAATTATACATATATAGTATAGCAATAAGCATTGAGTAATTTGTGAACCTGTAGTACTCAGCCAATGAGGAAATGGGAGGAATCAACCATCGGGTAATAGGGAATATAAGGTTATGATATACTTTTGCTGTGCACTCCTGCTTGCAGGACAGCTGCCATTGCAATCGCAAATAAAAATGCTACTTCACTGAGATCCTCGCCTGAGCCTTTGTTATTGGCTGCAGACTGTTTCTCAGAAACTGGGGGCTCGTCCGGGAGCCAGTCACCTTCTGGGGAGCCCCATTTCAAGAATTTACCTCGTAACTCTGTGCACAGACCAAGGTAAGAAATATTAAGTATTACCTTGGGGGTTGGGTAAGAATCTTGTGTGAAGTGTGATTGAGATGTACTTTTGTACGAAGTGAGTATGGGGTCCCGATCCATGGTTCCGTAGCTCTGCGAGGAGCGTGGTTGGATATGGACGTAGCACGAGGTAGAAGAGTCTTGTCAGTCACATTTACTAGGGCAGTAATGACCTGGAAAGACCGAGAAAAACCCATGGTGGATGAATTTACTAGAGAATGTTGGTAGTACTAAGGAATTCTTTTTTCTTCCTTACAGACCTGCCTCTTGTCAATAGAGAAACTTTCTCAAGAGGTCCACCAATTCAAAGAGAATATATCTTTCTCCCAACCTGTACAAGGCAGTGTTTCAGCTATCAGGAGTAAGCGTCCTTCTGTTCAAGAAAGAAGATAAAGTGGGTACACACCCTGTGCCACCCTGTAGTTTTACCTACGTGACCATGGAGAGGACATGAGAAAATGGGATGGAAAATCTACCGTGACCCTAGAGGCATGGGTACGTGACTTGCAAAGAAAAGCAATCGCAAAAGGGGGGTTCTCTGAGAAATTTGCTGCTCCAGTTTCCAGTGGGCATTCCCCCTGACACAGTGATGAAGATTCTGACCAGGATTAGAGGGGCCCTGCCTCCAGCCAGGGGGAGGAAAGGGACAGTCGGGTTTATTGGACTATGTGGATTCGATGGCCTGGCACGTCAGATGCACAGAAGTATAAGGCTTTAGTAGACACCGGTGCACAATGTACTGTAATGCCATCGAGCTATAAAGGACCAGAGCCCATCTGTATTTATGGAGTGATGGGGGGATCTCAGCAGTTAACTGTATTGGAGGCTGAAGTGAGTCTGACTGGGAATGAGTGGCAAAAGCACCGCATTGTGACTGGCCTGGATGCTCCGTGCATTCTTGGCACAGACTATCTTAGAAGAGGATATTTCAAGGAACCAAAAGGGTTCCGGTGGGCTTTTGGTATAGCTGCCTTAGAGACAAAGGACATTAAACAATTATCTACCTTGCCTGGTCTCTCAGAGGACCCCTCTGTTGTGGGGTTGCTGAGGGTCAAAGAACAGCAGGTGCCAATCGCTACCACAACTGTGCAATGGCGGCAATATTGCACCAGCTGAGACTCCCTGATTCCCATCCATAAGCTAATTCCTCAACTGGAGAACCAAGGAATGATCAGCAAGACTCACTCACTCTTTAACAGCCCCTTATGGCCAGTGCGAAAGTCTAATGGTGAGTGGAGACTAACAGGGGACTATCGTGGCCTGAATGAAGTCACGCCACCACTGAGTGCTGCAGTGCCGGACATGCTAGAAGTCCAATAAAAACTGGAGTCAAAGGCAGCCAAGTGGTATTCCACAATTGATATCGCTAATGCATTTTTCTCCATCCCTTGAGCAGCAGAGTGCAGGCCACAGTTTGTTTTCACTTGGAGGGGAGTCCAATACACCTGGAATCAGCTGCCCCAGGGGTGGAAACACAGCCCTACCATTTGCCATGGACTGATCCAATCTGCGCTGGAACAGGGGGAAGCTCCTGAACACCTGCAGTACATTGATAACATCATCGTGTGGGGTGACACAGCAGAGGAAGTTTTCGAGAAAGGGAAGAAAATAGTCCAAATCCTTCTGAAAGCCGGTTTTGCCATAAAACAAAATAAAGTCAAGGGACCTGCACGAGAGATCCAGTTTTTAGGAATAAAATGGCAAGACGGACGTCGTCAAATCCCAATGGATGTGATCAACAAAATAACAGCTATGTCTCCACCAACTAACAAAAAAGAAGCACAGACTTTCCTAGGTGTCATGGGGTTTTGGAGAATGCACATCCCAAATTACAGTCTGATTGTAAACCCGCTCTACCAAGTAACCCGTAAGAAGAATGATTTTGAATGGGGCCCTGAGCAACGACAAGCCTTTGAACAAATCAAGCAGGAAATAGTTCATGCAGTAGCCCTTGGGACAGTCCGAGCAGGACCAGATGTAAAGAATGTTCTCTACACCGCAGCCGGGGAGAATGGCCCCACCTGGAGCCTCTGGCAGAAAGAGCCTAGGGAAACTCGAGGTCGACCCCTGGGGTTTTGGAGTCGGGGATACAGAGGATCTGAGGCCCAGTATACAAAAAACAAAAAAGAGATATTGGCAGCATATGAGGGAGTTCGATCTGCTTCAGAAGAGGTCGGTACTGAAGCACAGCTTCTCCTGGTACTCTGACTGCTGGTACTGGTTCGGATTTTTAAAGGAAGGACACCCTTTACACATCATGCAACTGATGCTACCTGGAACAAGTAGGTTGCACTGATTACTCAGTGGGCTCGAATAGGAAACCCCAGTTGCCCAGGAATCTTGGAAGTGATTGTGGACTGGCCAGAAGGCAAATATTTTGGGATATCATCAGAGGAGGAGGTGGTCTGTGCTGAAGAAGCCCCACTGTACAACAAGCTACCAGAAGATGAGAAGAAATATGCCCTGTTCACTGATGGGTCCTGTAGTATTGTGGGAGGTCAGGCATTGGTTGCCCTTGGTGAAGCCATGCTGGCTGTCTCAGATCACCTCCTTGGCTTGCATCTGCCTTGATATTGCTTTCAGGATGATCTTTTCCATGATCTTCCCAGGCACAGAGGTGAGGTCTGTACTCTTCCCAGGCCACATGGCCCTGCTTCCACTGCCTGTGCATTTTGTTCTTGTCCCTCAGTTTGACTAGCAGACATCCTGGTTGTCTACCCTCCCTGCCCACTTTCTTATGCAGGGTGGGGGGTGGACAGTTCTTGTGCCCTAATGAAAACATCCTTAAAGAGCTGCCAGCTTTGCTCAGCTCCTTTGTCCCTAAGGATGGTGTTCAAGGGGATCTTATATACTAAGGTCTTTAAATAGCTGGAAGTTTGCTCTTCGGAAGTTCAGGGTCCTGACTTTGCTCTTTGCCAGGCCCGTATCCCTCGAGATCACAAACTCAACTAGGTGTGATCACTGCAGCCCAGACTGCCTCCAGTCTTGACCTCTTTAATGAGCTCTTCCTCATTGGTGAGCACCAGGTCCAGTAATGCTTCTCCTCTGGTTGTTTTGTCTAATACCTGGACCAGGAAGTTATCCACAATGTACTCTAGGCATCTCCTGAATTGCTTTCAGCCTGCTGTGTTGTTTTGCCAGCAGACATCTGAGTGGTTGAGGTCCCTCATCAAGATGAGAGTGTGCGAGTGTGACACTTCTTGTAGTTGAAGCAAGAATGCTTCATCCACAGGCTCCCCGTGATCAGGCGGCCTGTAGTAGACCCCAACCACAAGCTGTCCTTTATTGGTACAGTCTTTAATTCTCACCCACAAGCTCTCAACCTGTCTGTGGCTGTTTCTCAGAGGCCTCTTCACAATCACTCCCTTCCCTAATGTAGAGGGCAACACCCCCTCCCTTTCTTCCTTGTCTATCCTTTCTGAAGTGAAAGACAACGCCCTGTTCAAAGCAGATCAGCTGATCCATTAGATAATGATGCTCAGGACCTTGTCAAGTGTGGAATCTCCATCTTAGAGATACTTAAAACCCACTTTGAGCCCATGTTTCTATATCTGACCACATTCATGGGAAAACAAACAAACAAACTAGCAAAACAACAAGAAATTTTCTTACATCTAATCAGAATTTCCTACATTGCAGCTTGGCCTGTTGCTTCTTGTTCTTTCACCGTGCATTTTCCCAGTCAGCTCATCAGTCACCTGCATCAAGAAACCGTCATGAACACACTCCAGAAATCTGGATTGCTTATGCCCAACCATATTACCCTTCCATCTAGAGTTATGTAAAGAAATACAGAAATATGGAGAATTCTCAAGGCAAAGACTGCATCCCTTTCTAGGAAGAAGGAACTGGACAAAAACGTGCAAGTATGAATCATATATTTATTATTGAACAACTCTCTCCAAAATTGGGTACAGAGATTAAAAATCAAAATTCATTGCAGTACAAAGCATTAGTAGTGATTCATAGTACAAGTTTTGAGAAAAACTATCAAGCTTGCAAATGTTTTCACTACAGATATTTATAGCACATTTAAAATATGTTAAATGACAAAATAGAGTGACATTTTAAAGAAAATGCTTGACAAAATATGATTCTAACAAAGCCCATAAGTTTTGATATTAATTAACTGTCCTGGTTTCAGCTGGGATAGAGTTAATTTTCTTCCTAGTATCTGGTATGGTGCTGTGTTTTGGGTTTAGGATGAGAATAATGCTGATAACACACTGGTGTCTTAGTTGTTGCTAAGCAGTGCTTACAATAAATCAGGGACTTTTCAGCTTCTTGCACTGCCCTGCCAGCGAGGAGGGTGCACAAGAAGCTGGGAGGGGACAGAATCAGGACAGCTGACCAGAACTGGCCAAAGGGTTATTCCATACCATATAACGTCATGCTGAAAAATAAAACGGGGGGGACTTGTCCAGGGGGCTGCCGCTGCTTGGGAACTGTCTGGGCATCGGTCAGCGGGTGGTGAGCAATTGAGTTGTGCATCACTTGTTTTGTGCATTCTTATTCGTCTTCTTATTTTCCCTTCCTTTTCTGTCCTATTAAATGTTCTTTATCTCAGTGTAGAGTGGAGTAGAGACACCACGGGTAGGCTCTGTGACAAGATGGAGAAGATGGAGACTCGACTGTTCTTGTGCGCACCAAGACCAATAAGCTGCACATTTGCTATCCTGAGCCAAAGACCTGTCATGTTTTTGACAAAATGCTGTACTCTGGTGAACTTTTGCTCATTATAATATCATTATAATACGAAAACACACCTCCATCCCAAAAGCTACCTGCGTCCAAGGTGCAAACACCCCTCACTGAGCATGTGCTCTGAATTTCTTGTAGCCTATAGCTTTA